GAAACATAGAACTAGGAGTAGGATAGGCTCTGTCTGGGAAACATAGAACTAGGAGTAGGATAGGCTCTGTCTGGGAAACATAGAACCAGGAGTAGGATAGGCTCTGTCTGGGAAACATAGAACTAGGAGTAGGATAGGCTGTCTGGGAAACATAGAACCAGGAGTAGGATAGGCTCGTCTGGGAAACATAGAACCAGGATAGGCTCTGTCTGGGAAACATAGAACTAGGAGTAGGATAGGCTCTGTCTGGGAAACATAGAACCAGGATAGGCTCTGTCTGGGAAACATAGAACTAGGAGTAGGATAGGCTCTGTCTGGGAAACATAGAACCAGGAGTAGGATAGGCTCTGTCTGGGAAACATAGAACCAGGAGTAGGATAGGCTGTCTGGGAAACATAGAACCAGGAGTAGGATAGGCTCTGTCTGGGAAACATAGAACCAGGAGTAGGATAGGCTCTGTCTGGGAAACATAGAACCAGGAGTAGGATAGGCTCTGTCTGGGAAACGTATAACCAGGAGTAGGATAGGCTCTGTCTGGGAAACATAGAACCAGTAGGATAGACTGTCTGGGAAACATAGAACCAGTAGGATTGACTGTCTGGGAAACATAGAACCAGTAGGATTGACTGTCTGGGAAACATAGAACCAGTAGGATAGACTGTCTGGGAAACATAGAACCAGTAGGATTGACTGTCTGGGAAACATAGAACCAGTAGGATGACTGTCTGGAAACATAGAACCATAGGATGACTGTCTGGAAACATAGAACCAGTAGGATAACTTCTGGGAAACATAGAACCAGTGGATAACTGTTGGAAAGAACAGTAGGATGGACTGTCTGGGAAACTGAACCATGGAATGACTGTTGGGTGAACAGTTTGACTGTGGTGACTTGTGAACAAACATAGATAACTTGTTTCATGTGTTTTAGGTTTGTTTGTATGGATAATGGTCGTTGGTGTGTTGGAAACTTTTATGAAAGTGGTGTGTTGATGGGTGTAACGTGTTTTTGTAAGGTTTGTGGTATGGTGTTTGAGGTTAGGATGTTTTGGTCTTTGGTTATTTGTATAACAGTAGGATAGTGTGGTTGGGTGTAGTGTTGTTGTGGTTGGTGTGTGTTTGTGGTAGTGTTTGTATGTTGTGATTGTGGTATGGTGTGTGTTGTGGTATGGTGTGTGTTGTGGTATGGTGTGTGTTGTGGTATGGTGTGTGTGTGTGTGTTGTGGTATGGTGTGTGTTGTGGTATTGTGTGTGTTGGTTGTGGTTGTGTGTGTTTTGTGGTTGGTTGTGTGGTGTTTTTTGTTGTTGGTTGGTTGGTGTTGTGTTTTTGTATGTGTGTGTTGTTGTGTGTGTGTTTGTGTGTTGTGTGTGTGTGTTTGTTTTTGTTGTGTGTTTGTTGTTTATGTGTGTGTGTGTGTGTGTGTTGTGTTGTTGTGTTTGTGTGTGTTGTGTGTGTTTGTGTGTGTGTGTGTTGTGTGTGTGTGTTGTGTGTTTGTGTGTGTGTGTGTGTGTTGTGTTGTGTGTGTTTGTGTGTTGTGTGTGATATATGTGTGTGTGTGTGTGTGGGTGTGTGTGTGGTGTGTGTGTGTGTGTGTGGTACCTGGGTCTCCTCAGGACATACAGTCAGGCCAGGGACAGACAGAGTCCCAGTGGAGACCATCCGTGATCCTGTAAAGCCTTCAACAAAATCACAACAAAAACACACAACCATGAACACATTTTGTCATTGGTTTTATTTTCATATTGACCAAGGGAGAAAGGGAGGAGAAGGATTAATAATACAGCAAATACTTTGCTTCAAACTATTTTAAACATTTGACGTTGGGAGAGAGGGAGAACACAGCTGGTGACAGGAAGAAGGGACACACGTCAGCATAGCACCATTTACACTGAGGAATACTGGTGGACGTCACCTGGTAAGTGTACATTAAACTAGTTGGGGTTACCTGGTAAGTCTACATTAAACTAGTTGGGGTTACCTGGTAAGTCTACATTAAACTAGTTGGGGTTACCTGGTAAGTCTACATTAAACTAGTTGGGGTAACCTGTTATGTAAGGTTTCTAAGCAGCTTTTTAACCAGTAAACTAGCAAGGGTTTCTAGAAACCACAACGGTGTGTATCGGTGAACTAACAGTTGGGCTTCAGCCCTCAGTCTTTCAATGGTCTTCACATGAAAATACCCAACGTCCCCTTTCTGCATTCACCTAACCAGTTTTTGGTGTGTGTGTTTTCAAGCCGGACCTTTCAAAAAAAAATCCAGCATGTCCATGATGCAGGTAACGGAACACCGTTGTGGTCCAACATTCAGAATATTCCAAACAGAGCTGCTTGTTACAGTACATCGGAACAATGGAAGCATAGAATTAGAACTTGGAATTTCAGAACTTGATTCTCATTCTATGAAGGGAACATGATTTAACCCCTGCCCTTCCTTCACTACACAGCCTGTTTCTCTTCTACAACAAAATGGCTACGTCCCAAACGGTACCCTATTTCCTACACACAGTGCACTACTTTTGACCAGCTCTGGACAAACGTAGTGCACTATATAGGGAATAGGGTGTAATTTGGGACACAGTCAAACAGGGACATACGTTAAGTCTTTCCACCGTTACATTCTTCGGGCTGGGTGCATATCAGTGATGTTTAAACAACACTACAATAACATTTTAATGACAACGGTTGCATTTTTCTGCAATAAACTCACAAACACAAAAACTAAAGGACCTGAATTTGCTGAGGGATGTGTGTTAAAAGGGTAGTTGCGTAAAAGTGTGTGTGTGTGTGTGTGTGTGTGTGTGTGAGTGTGAGTGCGCGTGAGACACATACTTAGTCATAGCTTCACAGGTAATGGATTTCCCATGAAACCATCCGTCAGTCTCAGCATTAATACCTTCATGTGTAATGGATGGTAACACGGTACAGGTTGGCTCAGTCTCACACTAACATGGATTCTAGTTGAGCGGAACCCCTCTTGGGCGTCATCATTACCAGCACAAACACAGAGGGAAGATTCTAGAATATTCACTATTCATCATCATTACTGCAACGCGAGAACTGATTGGCTGTTGCCGGGGGCAACCAACGCCAGGCCATTCCCCACCCCCCCCCACGTGATACAGGAAGTAGAACAAAACGAAGAGGAGAAACGACCAAACGACCTCTCACACTCTCTACTCTCTACTCTCTACTCTCTACTCTCTACTCTCTACTCTCTACTCTCTACTCTCTACTCTCTACTCTCTACTCTCTACTCTCCATTCTCCACTCTCCACTCTCCACTCTCCACGACAAAACAATCACAGACATTCTGGGAAGTGATTTTTCCAACCAACACACTCCTCCTGTCCTGTCCAAGGCTTTTACTGTTAGATATGGCTTCACTGTTACATTCATACTGACTGGCTGACTGAATGACTGACTACTGACCAGACCTGGGTCAAATATCAACTGACTACTGACCAGACCTGGGTCAAATATCAACTGACTACTGACCAGACCTGGGTCAAATATCAACTGACCACTGACCAGACCTGGGTCAAATATCAACTGACCACTGACCAGACCTGGGTCAAATATCAACTGACAACTGACACAGGACCAATCTTTACATTTCCGTGACGTAAAATGTGATTTGTTTTTCATGATTTGATTTGTCGATTCGTCCAAATAACCAGAAAACCAAAGCACCAGAAGAATGATTCCTTATTATCGGTCATATCCTATCTTCTCCTGACAGACATGTGACAGGTTCTGTCTGTCCAGGAGAGACTGAGCATGTGCAGAAGTCAGGTTAGGATTGGGCCCTATGTGAGACCTGTATACTGAGGCAGACAGATGCATGTCTATTGAGTCCTTGGCTGAGTCTCAAATGGCACCCTATTCCCTACATAGTGCACTACTTTTAACCAGAGCCCATAGAGGAAATAGGGTACCATTTGGGATACAACCGTTTTATTCCTGAGGAGACGCTATTCAGCAAATTCTGAATCCTTGAATAAGGGAGTTACCATAAGACACAGGGGGAAAACACACACACACAATGTAAACACATTCACACACACACACATGCATGCCTAGAGGTACACGCATGGACAAGAACACAAACTCGCATACTCTCTCACACACACATAAACACATAGACACACACACTTCCACACACATCCAGACTACACACAGCTAAGTCTGTAATTTACTGTGTACCACCACATTAAGTCTATAATATCATGGGGAGGTTAAAGATGTACTGTCTGTAATTTACTGTGTACAACCACATTAAGTGCTATAATATCATGGGGAGGTTAAAGATGTACTGTCTGTAATTTACTGTGTACAACCACATTAAGTGCTATAATATCATGGGGAGGTTAAAGATGTACTGTCTGTAATTTACTGAGTACAACCACATTAAGTGCTATAATATCATGGGGAGGTTAAAGATGTACTGTCTGTAAGTCTGTAATTTAAGTGCTATAATATCATGGGGAGGTTAAAGATGTACTGTCTGTTCCATATAATAAGACTCTGTTTCTGTCTTCATTCAAAAATAATCCATTCTATATACATGCAGTACTCTGATAGAAGGGTCATATATACATCTGGATATATATCTACGTCTTTGAATAGTCTGTCTGTTAAAATATAGATCTATATCAAGTGACCGTGTGTGCGGTGTTGTGTGAGGTGTGTTTGACTACTGGCACTTGGGAGTGACTGGTGCAGGATAACAGGACACTGAACAGCTTTAAACCAGAGATGGGCCATCTAAGGATCCCTCCCAAATGCCACCCTATTCACTATATAGTGCACTACTTTACACCAGAGAATGCCACCCTATTCACTATATAGTGCACTACTTTAGACCAGAGAATGGCACCCTATTCACTATATAGCGCACTACTTTAGACCAGAGAATGGCACCCTATTCACTACATAGTGCACTACTTTAGACCAGAGAATGGCACCCTATTCACTATATAGTGCACTACTTTAGACCAGA